AACTCCAGTTAGAACACAGTGAGTTCAATGCCTCATGAAACCACAAGTCAAAAAATATATTAGTTATAACATCACAGCAAAAACAAGCAGCCTGCCGTTATGGTGTTCAAACAGGAAGATCAAGTATCCTCTCCCTAACCACTAATATTGAGTGATTTCCATATCTCTGAATCATGCAATATGTCAAGTCTGCAGCCAACAGGCACTCTGATTTCATTGTCCCAAATGGCAAGGTCAGTCTGGTTTTCTTTCCCATCTGTTACAACTATGTCAGGATAGGAACAACCAGAAAGAGTTAGTGCAAGTCCCCTAAATCAATTAAGCCTGCTGGATTTTTCGACTTTGATTTGCACAGTTCTTCCATTGCCTCGGTGTCTGATTTTCTCCTGTCACTGAGAAACTTAGAAATAAGAATGTTGATATGGTTTCTCCATGTCCTGAATTTCTATTCTGTATAAAATGCCTTGGGGATATCTCATGAGCGTCCTGTGCTCAGCAACAGTATCCTTAGTTTCAGTAATTATAGTCATACTAATGGTTATGTTCATATGATTTATATCTTCATTGTGTTTCTCTTTCCCTTCTAAATGGGCCCTTATTGGTGTGATGAACTTTCACTGTAAACAAATATATTTTACCAATGAAATAAAGCAATAGTCTAAAGTGGGGGGGGGCAGAGTTAATTACTAAAATAATCTCAGAGTCATTAAAACATCAGAGTGGCAATGCATAACTGAAATGAATTGTCATTTTTTTTAAAAAAGGCTTACAAATGATACTAGACAGATAGATAACCTTTATTGTCATTTTTTACTGTGGGCGCAATGGCACACATTAAAAATGAAATTTAGTTGCTTGCTCTCAAACTGTACACATACACAACACATGTTTAAAACATACTATATACAACATATGTATAGACCTACACCCTTACATATAAGTAACATAAATATTAATCACCGTCCATCTTCAATACATAATGAGAGGAGGAAGCTTTAGAGTTCACAAGGTTAATACTGTATGGAACAAAACTGTGACTGAATCTGGATGTTCTGCTTCGGATACCACGGAGCCTCCTCCCAGAAGGTAACAAGGAAAACAGGTCGTGAAGAGGATGTGTAATGTCCCAAATAATCTTGCGGACCCTGCTCAAGCAACGCTTATGTGCTATGTCCTGGATGGAAGGGAGGGAACTGCCAATAATCTTTTCTGCCATCACCACTCTCTGCACCGCCTTCCTGTCAAGCAGTGATGCTTCTAAACCAGACTCTGATGCTGTATGACAGGAGGCTCTCGATCGTCCCTCTATGGAAAGTGAGAAGGAAGGACAGGAGAAGGAAGATGTGCTTTTCTCATGCGACACAGAAAATGCAGGCGCTGCTGTGCCTGCTTCATATTTCGTTTGAGTGTACATTAATGGATAGAAGCTAATCTGTTCTATAAAATGCATGATCTCTATTGTAGAATTTTATTTATCTCAGTAATCTTATTTAGAATGGTATTTTTTTCAATAATTCCATTGCAATGGCATGCTTCAAAAAGAATCTCAAGTGAAACCATGGATACCGATGCATTTTATTGAAGGACCCTGTCCATCATGCTTACCATTCTTGTTCCAAATGGTGATACGACCAAGACCAGAATGTTTATTAAATAATATAATTTATTAGAAATAAGATCTAAAACGGGTATTGGCAGCACTGGCAAGAGGATTACGGGAACATGTCTGTAGAACACCTAATGAATAAAGACTGTCTTAGAGGCATTGCCACTATTCCATCAGCGGAGTCATTTTTGGGCAGGCATCCACCTTGGTTCCTGATGACTTGTTGAGTGAAAATATGACTAAACACCCATCTACTTCAATGGGATTTTAGAAAATAGTGTTTTGGTGAAATGAGCTCTCTGAATCAGACTTGAATGTTGTCTTTTCTGCTTTCTTAATGACAGCTTTTTTTTTTTTGCAAGGTCATGACTAGCATTTTTAAACTATTCTCCATTCAGCCAACTTTTCTAATTAGAGTTTCCAAAGCAGCAGTTGGGTTGTTTCCATGCCATTATGTCCTGGATTGGGGGAGGAGAGAGGGAGATAGAAACAGAGAGAGAATTGCCATTAACCCTGCATTTGTTCTCTTTTGCAAAGCATCCTAGAAAGAATGCTATTCACCTTTTCCAGAAAAAAAGATTTGATGAATATAATAATTATGGAGAAAGAGAACAGACATTTTGTCCCACAATCATTTGCCACTACGTTCTTGTTCTCTGCAAAACTTTCGCTTTCATGAAACGTCTGTACAAATGTCCAATTAGTACTTTTAAAACTCTTTGCTTAGAGCGACAAATAAACTTGCTGGGAACTTAAAAGAGCTGTGTTGTGGCATATATGGTGAACTCAGACAACCACCTTCTTCCAGATGGAGAAGGAACAGCTATGTCTGGGTTGCTTTCAGATGTGATGCCATCACCGATCTGAGGTTTGAAGCCTAAAATTCAAGGGTTGAGACTCCTAGACAGGATTATTATCAAATAATAATAACAGGGTTATTATCAAAGGATGCTAGGCAGCAGCTTTTAACTGTCGGATTCAACTTTGATCTAAAACAGTTGTGCTTTTTATTATTTCAGTGGAATATGTAGGCTGGCTTCACAAAATGCCTAATCTCTATTGAAGGTGGTGTCTTTGTTGCAGTAAACCTTCTGGATTGGTATTCTTTCTAGTGCATTCACTACAATTTGGGGGACTGATGGAATTTCAAAGTACTGTACTTAGAAGGCTACCTTCCTCCCATAAAATGTGAACTGAAATGGGTAGAAGAGTTGTGGTTTTTGCATTTTCTACTGTATATGTATAATATAAAAATTATTGAGTAGGTACAAATTTATCCTCTTCCCACAAGATAGCAATTTAATGTTAAATAGCTGCCTTTCTATATATGTGTATAGAAATACACACACACACACACATTCAGTCGGGTCTAATTCTCAGAGACTGCCTGGATAAGTCTCTGCAATTTTCTGGATAAGTTTTTCAGAAGTGGTTTCCCATTGTTTTCCTTCCTTCCCAGATTGACCAACCCAAGGTCACCCAGCTGTTTTGTGCCTAAGGCAGGAATAGAAGTCATGGTCTCCTAGTTTCTACCCTGATACCTTAACCACTATATCAAAATGGCTTTTCAAAGACTTGTGTGTGTGCGTGTGTGTGTGTATGGCTTTGTGACCATGGCAGTACTAGAATTTAACAGTCTCCCGGTTTCTATCCTGATTCCTTAACCACAACACCAAACTGGCTCTCTGTAGATACATTAAATAGTAATAAACAACATTAAACAAATGAATCTGAAAATGGCATAGAAAAGATAATGAGTTAAAAAGACCCGTATTGTCTTTAACCTGAAATTCTCAATTAAGCAATGAATATTCCCATCTGTCTTATCAGTAATCTCTGTACTTATGCACTTATTATATAGTGATATATATTGGAGATGCGAGACTAAGTCTCAACTCCCAGTGACTAATAGACAAGTCCCTGCAGGTTTTTCTTGGCAATGCTGTATTTTTGGAAGTGTTTTACAATTGCCTTCTTCATATGGCTGAGAAAGACCCAAACTGACCCAAAGCCATACAACTGGCTAAGAGAAGAACTAAAACACAGGTGTCCCTACTGCTGTTCCGGCACCTCAACCACTAGACCAAACAGGCTCTCTATAAATGCATTATCTCCCTTTTAAAGATTTCTATAAGGAAGGGACAAACAGAAGGTAGATTATGCTAAGGCACTTTGACAGTTTTGTATTAAAAGGAATCTTTGTATTAATAGGAAGAAGGAGTTGACTATTTCTAACCATCTGACTACTCCCTAAGACCAGGCAATGGAACCACACAGAAGTGAGATCTGAACCAAAAGATATCTAGCTGATAAACATTACCATGCAGGTAGTTTGCTGGAGAGAAAGACTGTATAATAATCCCAGGAACTTTTTCTGAAGTATTGCTCCTGCCGATGGAATTAAGGAACACCAATCAATGAAGAGCACATGCTCTGTGTGTTTTCAGTTCCCTGATCAAATTAGAAGTTGGGCTGAAAAACACATTTTCTGCCTGAGGCTCTGAACAGGTTTTGCTAGTCTGAATCAGTAAGATTGAATGAATAAACATATAATCAGACCCAATTTCAGGTGGCTTCCATGTTCTTCATAAATTCGTGCATTTTCTCCAATGAAGGGTCCTCCCTGTATGATGGTGACTTTCAGAAGTTTTTGTGCAAATGTCATGCTGACTGAGAATTTATGAAAGTTGAAGTTAAAGACACATTTGGATGGTACCAGGTTAGGGAAGACTGATGTGAACACTGCAGTTGAGTTCCCATGTTTTGTAGATATAATGGTTCTTTAAGTTGAGACATTTCTTAGAAAAAGATTTGTTCCCACTCCCCCCTCCTGCCTCTGCCCCAGTTCGTCCCTTATACCTATATAAATTAGTTTAGATAATGCAGAAAACAAGCTTCAAATTATGTTTAAATTGTTTAAAATATGGATTTAAACACTTTAAACATAATTTGAAGCTTATTTTCTGCATTATCTAAACTAACTACAAAGATGTATATAAGAGATCTGAACTGTGGATGAAAAGACACGTCTGATGAAACTAATACAAACTATTTTTAATAAATTAATAAAAACTCCGTCCACCCTTCGGCTTTCAGTATTAAGAAAAACATACATATTTAGGCTGGAAAGTTATCTGAGAATATTAACTCAAGAGGACTTTTTTCTATATGACTCTCTAAGTACACTGTTATGTCTAATAAATTATGTTATTTAATAGAATTTTGGATGTGCTTTTCTAAGTAATTTAAGCATGAGTATTTGACAGACTTTATTCCAGCCATATAAATTGGAGGGCTTCTAGTTGGAGGAGGAGGAGGAGAGTTGCTGGGAGTTGGCTGAATAACTCAATAAATTTAGTAAATAAATACATAAAATGTTTTTCTCTTGCCTTAGGAAAATGGAAGATCTAGAAAGACGCAAAGCACGCAGGATAGAGCAGATGGTAGCAAAATGGCTACGTCGATCACGGATTAATTTAGGCAGGTATGTATTTTAATATAATATTATTAGATGGAATGGTAGAGTGCTTCCATTGTGTATGAGATGCCATGAAGTAGCTTCTCAGTTTTGCCTAGATCTGGTCTTGCCACCCAAAGCTCAGCTGTTTTGCAGTGAAGAAGGCTTATGTTGCTTAGGCTGATCCTTTTCCTATCTCCTAGGTCAAGTAAAATACCGTAGCAAACTTTTGGACTATACTATGTACTCTGTATATGATAGTTCCAAGACGGCAATTGTTGTAGCATATCAATATGATCTCTGTGGCATCCCAGGTACAAAGAAAACATATCAATGTTGGCATTAGCTTCTAGTGCCTGGTCAAAGTCTTACCCCTTAACTACAAATGTGGGATACCAGTATTTAAATAATTAAAGCCAAAAGGGGAAAATAAAGCAGAACTGAAAGTTATTTGTAGTATTGTTTCACAGCAGTCTGAAAAAGAAAGACCATGTACAAATTTAAGCAGGAGGGGAGGAAGAAATTTAGAGTTAGGATGATTGACACCCTTTCTAGCCAACTATTATGGTGAATTTATCAGGCAATGCTTGAGCAAACATCGGGGAGCAAGGGTTCCTGACCTCCATTTTGCAGCTACATTTTTATTCATTTATTTATTTTCTGACAGCAAGAAAAGAGCAGGGCGGTGAAGTAATTGCATCATCAGAGAGGACAAGATGGCAATTGAACTGCATTTCCCACTTTTTTTGTTTTGTTTTTTAGCTAAGCATGTCCAGAGTTTGTGGAGGCTTAACATGCCTCTTTGATTTGATTTCCCACTGAACAGTTGGTGGGAAACTCTGCCATTATCAAACAATTGACAGGGCAATCTTAGAGAAAAAAAGTCAAAGAATTGCCCCCCCCCAAAAAGCTTGAGTCTTTGTTAGCTTCTCCAGATGTTGGGGGGGATTGCAAATTTGGGTTTTAGTAAAACAAAGTGACCCCATTGCCATTCTAGGAGCTTTTGTTAATATTTACCAGCCTTCCACCATGTCTTGAAAGCAATTCTCAGAGTCACATGGTTCAGCACGTATGGGAAAGTCAGGTAGCAGAATGATATTCTCTCTGCAGAAAAACTTACGCCTATATCATATATCACACATGTCACAACTTACTCATGCATCGCAATACACAGAAAAAGGAGCGGGGCTTTGATTGTATGGTTGTGACCTTCATCTCAATTTTGGACACCCCTGTAGCACAAAATAGGTTAGAACACTTTTTCTTGTGTCTCGCCATTTTTTTTTTAAATCTGTTTAGAGCAGAACAAAACTTTAGCATGGAAAAAATAGCTTGGATTTAGGCTTACCACCTCTGGCTACCTGTGAAAATGAAGTATCATCCTGTGGTCTGGAATCAACCTCCTGTAATGATTTTTTTTTTTTGCCAGATGCGCATTGCAGGGAATGACTTTAGGCTGCTGTAATCAGTAGGCAAGCTGTGCTAGAGGGACACTGATGCAGCATTATACACCTTTTTCCATGAAAAAAATCCCCAGTAATCTTCCAAGGAACCTGAGACCAACTTTCTCAGGATTACAGAGACCACTTCATCGTGCTTGCCGAAACACAAAATGCTCAAATGCCATTCCAAACTTTGAACATCACGGTGCTCAGGAAGTATCATTGAAAACCATTGACAAATATTTTCCTGTTTTTTGCACTGCAGGACAAATCTGTTAGAAACAAAATACCTTAATTTTGACTTAATATAAATGTTGTCAATTTTCTGATGGCCAATACGAATCCTTTGCTTTGGGGTGACTTTGGAAATCTTGTGGCTTTTTTGTGGTAGATATCATGAAGGCAGCAATGCTTCTGTCCTGGTCTAGGAGATGCAAGCCCACTAATTTGGATTTATGATGCACTATCGATCACTGTAAATGCTATCTTAAGCTTGGTTTATTTCTGGGTAGTATTTACTGTAATTCCTTTTTTGACCGAGATAGATGAAGCTCAAATTTTTACAGAGTTGTTCCAAACTGTAGAATCGTTATCTTCAAAGCAAGTCAACATTTCAGCACTAGTCCATAACAGAACATCAAGCCTATTCATGTTCACTTCACGTCCACATGGATTTTCCACTTGGTTAGGCACTCCATTGTGTAACTATTCCACTCTCATAGTGACCTTATACACAAAGAGCTGCCCATGCACAGCCTCTTGGCTGAACATATGAAAATCCAGCTAAACTGTAAGATCTAAATATGTCCTCTAGGTTTAAATGTGCATGCTTACATTTATTTATTTGTTAGATTCATAGGGCTGCCTAGCCACTCTTGCTGTCTTACAATTTGTAGAAACACGAAAACAACGGAATAGAAATGTGATGCAATGATATATAATATAACAAACATTCAGAACCGAGAAAAAGAACACAGAGAAACATTAGAGTAATAGAGAAACAGAAATGACAATAATAACAGGATTAGCTGAGGCCAACCCTCACATATATTAGTCAAGATCCCTCCATATAGAGAGAGAACAAAGACTGAGCATCCATATTACTTTTCAGGTTTATGGGTATCTTTTCTGGAGCTGCCCAGTACTATTTAAAATATTTATCAGACTGTTTCTTTCCACTTTACATGTCTGACAATAAACACTCCACTCACAATATATATCAGAGCGTCTTTCTTGTTTACTGGCTTACAGTATGTTTTGTTTTTCTCAGTAGGTATGCACTGATGTAAAAATATCTCAAAAGCAAATGCTGAGATTTCAGGAAATTTGAAGCACTGGATACCTTTTTTTAACTGGCTTTTTTCCACCCTAAATTTGCAGAGGGAGAGGATCACTGTCAGATGGCAGTAGGCAACCTGCAAGTCATGTCAAACTCACAGTGGAAGTTCAAAAAGATGTTCTACTTGGACATTATGGCATTGAAGTTTCTCATAATTTCCCCCTTTTTATCACATCAGTTGCTGCAGGTAGAAAACAGCTTTCCCTTCTCATATTTTCCTGATGTTGGAAATTGTCTGGAGAAATACAAAGCTCTGGTTTTGGGGAGGAAAAAGATGCCTTAAAAATTTGCTGATCACTGACATATGTTGTTGTCAAGCTATATGTTATCGCTGACATATGTTATCCCAAGCTATACATAGCCAGATAGAGAAAACTGGCTGAGTCCAGGCCCAAAGTATTTCTGGAGGAACATTTAAAGTGATATAATTTGATAATAGACTGTAGATGGGGGGGGAGCATCAAATGATTAATGCAAAAGTACCAACATGTACAACATACATGTAATAGTGCCACTGCATACAGAAAGTTTAGGGAAAGGAGGAGGTGGGCAAGATGTTTTCTCTAACACATATTATATGAGATTGATAGCTACTTCCAGGCTAAATATAAATGGAACTGAGGGAGACTGAAGGAAAAGGGCAGAGTTGGAAATTGTCTGGAGAAATACAATGTTCTGGTTTTGAAAAGAAAGATACCTTAAAAATTTGCTGATCGCTGACATATGTTGTTGTCAAGCTATATGTTATCGCTGACATATGTTATCCCAAGCTATACATAGCCAGACAGAGAAAACTGGCTGAGTCCAGGATCTGGAATTTTGGAAAGAATAGGGACTTTGGGCACAATTGCTTTCTCACCTGTTCCTTGCCAGAGGGAAGCTGGTAGTTTGATCTTGCTGGGATGTCAATCTAAGCAGATCCCGGTGTTGCCAGCCCTCGAATGCCTTGGATCAGTCAGGAGGGGACAACAAAACAGCATTTGGAACAACAAAATGTTGTGGCAGGTTATATTGAGAAGGAGACTATCCTTTCTGCCATTACTTCTGCTACAAAGGAAGTGCTGCCGACAAGGGCAGGGTGGGCCTCTCGATTGGTGCCATTAAGAATCCTTTCAATAACTTGGATTCAAATTTCCAAATCGTAAGCAAGCAATGCCAGGTCATCTTATATGGCTTCAGTCTCTTTACATACACATATATATGAGCCCACATTTATTTGTTTGTTTTGGGGTGATGCTGCAGACTGGAAGTATCAAGTATCTCGCTAACAAGGCTCATGTTTTGCAGGCAGCACTGCTGATGGGAAGCTTCTGCCAGGGGATCACATCTTTGCAATAAACAACGACGCAGCAGAAGAGCTCACTGGTGTACAAGCCGCTGCTCTTTTAAGGTGCAGTATGGAAGTCTGCCCCGGGGCAAAGGGTGATGGCTAAGCTTCACTCGGCTGCTGACTTTCATGCCAGGGGTGCATGCTAGCTTGTGAGAGCTTCACTTTCTCTCCTCTCTTCAGCTGGAGCACTCCAGAAAACCATACACTATTTTGAAGCTGTTATGCTATCCAAAAGCATGGTAATGGTATGTGGCCATAACATTGGGAGACAGGAGGGAAAGCTGCAGACAGCCTGCTAATGGTATTTCAGCCCACCGAGGGAGAGAGGCTGTGGGAAATGTTTCAGAAGGGACCCTTCCTGGTTTTCTGGAGAGTAAAAGGAAAGGAGGGGAGAAATACTTTTTAGTTTTGCAAGAATATGTTGATGTAGGGTTTTTACAACAAACATACCGTTAGTACTCCTTCTTCTTGGAACTGCCTCACAGAGGTGACAGTTTCATAGGAAGTAATGGTATTCAAGAGAAACAAGTTTAAAGCATCCTGACCTGACCGAAATAATTTGACAGTTCTTTGGATCCCGGCCTGTCTTTAAATACACAGAATTATCGTAGGAAAACAGGAACATCCATTCTTCTTTTTGGTGTTTGGCACTTATGTGTGCATTTGCTTATGTAGCATGTCATCGGAGTGCGTAGCACTTCACAGAGAGTAACAAGGCAGGTTTCCCACACTGCTTTGATACAGTTTGCAGGCTCAACTTTGGCCCAGGTGAGATAGCAGAAATCAGAATGGTACAAATTAGAAGCACTAACAAAGTTGGTGAAGCTGCATGGGAATCAAAACCTAGCTACAGGCTCAGTTATAATAAATTAGGAAGGACATTAGTGCCAAATTCTTCACTGAAAACGTNGACAGCCATTTGTCTGAAATGGTGTAGGGTTCCTGCCTGAGCAGGGGGTTGGACTCGATGACCTCCAAGGTCCCTTCCAACTTTATTATTATTATTATTATTATTATTATTATTATTATTATTATTATTATTATTATTATTATTATTATTATTATTATTATTATTATTATTATTATTATTATTATTATTATTATTATATGACCAGAGTAATGAGAATAGGGCATGGTTTGGGCATGTGAGTAGAGCAATGTGAGATCAGAGAGGAAGACGTTAATTTAGGCAAATTTAGGCAAGAGGTGATTAGGAAGGTATTAGCCCGAAGTATTTCTGGAGGAATGTTTAAAGTATTATTAAAAGGAAAGTGATGTAATTTGATAACAGACTGTATAACGGGCAACCAATGATTAATGCAAAATTATCAACATGTACAACCGGGTGAATGGTAATACTACCACTGAATACAGAAAGTATAGGGAAAGAAGGAGGTGGGCAAGATGTTTTCTCTAACCCAGTGTTTCTCAACCTTGACAATTTTAAGGCATGTGCACTTCAATTCCCAGAATTCCACAGCCAGCAATGCTGGCTGTGGAATTCTGGGAGTTGAAGTCCACATGCCTTAAAATTGTCAAGGTTGAGAAACACTGCTCTAACCCATATTATGTATGAGATTGATAGCTACTTCCAGGCTAAATATAGATGGAATTGAAGGAGACTGGGGGAAAAGGGCAGAGTTGGAAATTATCTGCCTTTAGAGGCACAGGTAGTCCTCGACTTAGGACACAATTGAACCCAACATTTCTGTTGCTAAGCGAGACAGTTGTTAAGTGAATTTTTTAGAACCTTTCTTGCCACAGTTGTTAAGTGAATCACTGCAGTTGTTAAGTTAGTATCACCATTGTTAAGTGAATCTGACTGGCCCATTGAATTTTCTTGTCAGAAGGTCGCAAAAGGGGATCGCGTGACCCCAGGATGCTGCAACTGTCATAATTATGAGTCAGTTGCCAAGCATCTGAATTTTGATCATGTGACCATGGGGATGCTGCAGTGGTCATAAGTGTGAAAAATGGTCGTAGGTCACTTTTTTTCAGTGCTGTTGCAACTTGGAACGGTCACTAAATGAACCGCTGTAAGTCGAGGACTACCTTTATTGAAAATGATGCCATTTGGGGGCATTCGTAGCAATGCCTTCAAATAGCAGGAAAAGGAGTGTGTTCTCCTTGTTCCCCATCCTGTGTATTCAAACCTGTGTTGTTTTTATTTTATTCTATTGTCTTAACAGGGAATCGCAAGGCACTCTCCAGTTTACAGTTCTGCGATGCATCTCGGTAAATTGCCCTCATGTACCACTGATGTTTGAGTTGCTCCTTGGAGGGTAAGGTTTGGCCTCCTGATGGGTATGCAAATGAGATCACAAATACGAAGTTCCAGGAGGTAATCCTAGAGATACGATGGGTGGGAAATAATGCCCAGATGAGGGAATTGATGTATTAGGGCGGGGGGGGGGTCCTCAACCCCCGGTCCGTGGACCAGGACCGAGCCACAGCATGCCAGCAACCGGTTCGCACAAACAAGCAAAGCCCCACCTGTGGGATGCAGGCAGCACACAAAACCATACACCCTCCGTTCCATGGAAAAACCTTTCTCCACGAAACCGGTCCCTGGTAACCAAAAGGTTGGGGACCTCTGTATTAGGGGATCCTTGGGCAAAGATGGTGAGATGCTTGCCAATAAAACTGAGGTAAAGGATTTAAAGGGTAGCCATGTTGACATCACTGGACTATGTCACCCAGATGTGGTGGTGTTAGTCTATAGAATGCTGGACTTGATTTTGGGAAGTAGACAGAAATTTAAAAAGTTTAAAAAAAAGTACCTGGCATAGGACATACTTAGCCATGAGCTTTCCAATGCATTATAGACCCACTTCAAATCATCCTCAAAATATGTTTGGAGTAAAAATAAAACTTCAAAATGACAAAGTTAAACTCAGCTTCCAAAGGCTTCATGTCTATTTTGTTTAGATAGATAGATAGATAGATAGATAGATAGATAGATAGATAGATAGATGGATGGATGGATGGATGGATGGATGGATGGATGGATGGATGGATGGATGGATGGATGGATGGATGGATGGATGGATGGATGGATGGATGGATGGATGGATGGATGGATGGATGGATGGATGGATGGATGGATGGATGGATGGATGGATGG